TATCCCCTTCCTTCTCACGAGATATCCACCCTCCCTGCCTCTCCTGGATCTGTAATGGTGGAATAGGTGGGGAAAGTCATTTCGCATGCAGCCTGGGTGAGGATGAGTTGAGAAAAGGCTGCCTGAGCTTTAGCTTATGTCCAGCCTAAGCTTTGCTTTGTAAAGGGAGAGATCTTCCCTATCATCTATTCCCTGAATCACTGGGCCCATAACATCCAGAAAGCTGGGCAGTCACCCATCTCTGTCTCCTGAGCCCTCCACCATGACACAGAGAGAAGGCTGTTCTCATACCTGCCACATACCTCGCTCCTCACCCAGTACACTCCTTGAGGACTGGACTGTGTCTTCCTTATAGTGCCTTTCATATCACCTCACAGGTTATCAGCAACACCTTTTCCTGATTGACAAAGAAAACAAAGACCTGCCACCTGCTTACCTTATCCATATCATATCCATATCACATCGTATCGTATCATATCATATCTTAAAGTCAGATTGAAGCAATGACTTCACGAAAATGTTTTATCAGGATCTCTGTGTTGGTCCTGGAACTGGCTTGGGGTCCCCATTCCATCTCTCTTAGGAGGATACTGAGACAGGCTGGTATAACCATGTTCTACACATACCATTTTAGGAGGGCCCATAAGACCTTCCTAAATAGAACTGTTTTATTTGTGCTGCCTAAAATGTATCACTTTGGTATATAATTTGAAATTTTGTAAACTAAATATTTGGCTTAAAAACTCTCTTCGCTAAAATTTGTAACATAAATTTTTAAATCTGGGAAGAGTAATAAGCAAGGCTATCACTCATGTAAAACTCCGTTAGCAATGTGTGCAAACTGTGTTCTCCCAAATGTGTAGCTGAGACCATTGGATTGGATGGATTGGATTGGAGGGGATTCGTTTTTAGGATTGTGGTACAAGGAGTGGTTTGGGGCAGTTGTTGGAAGAGTAAGTGTGGAGGAGCAGATCTGTGTGGAGTGAACGAACCATGAGCAGGCTTACATCACTAGTTGAGGAGTGAGCGGCAAGGGGAGGCGTGTTGTAGTGAGAGAGAAATTCTAAGAAATAGAGAGGCATGGAGACCAAAGATTGGCCTTCCTCCTGTTATGAAGATGAAGTTTTTTGTGTGTATCATAGAACCAGAGAAGACACCTTGAGAGTTTATATAAAGAACAAGAAGGAACAGGCAGAGTTCTAGGAACCCACACCCTACTTTTCTCTTCAAATGTTCTATTTTATCTTACATATGTATATTTATGTATATGTGAATTTCATGAGATAGTTAAGGTTTTGTTTGGGAGAAGGGGGAAGAAAAGATTTCCACTGCTGGAAAAAAAATGTTTTATTTTTGTTTTTGTTTCTGTTTTTTTATAATTGCTGTCTTAGCTACTGTGCTTAGGGCCAGCTCTGCAGTTCTAAACAGCTACCCTGGCAAAAATCATGCAAGATTGGGCTCTGAAATGAACATGGTCTTTGCCAGAAGAGGAAGAAGAATCATTCTTTTATAACATTAATTCAGTTCCTTTCACTGAAATTTGAAGTTCTTGCATAGATGACACTAAGAAGTATCATTTTATAGAATTTTAGCCAAAAAGAGAAGACTACAATTAATATGTAGGTATATATTTAAAAATTTTAGAGTATCAGGGGTTTTGTCAGAGTTGGTAGAAACATTACTTGGTAAAATTTTCTGGTAATATTTTTTTAGGTTCCATTTTTTAAAATCTTAAACATTAGAAATAAGTTTTTTTTTTTTTAATTTAGCATATTCACATTTGACTTACTCCTTCCCACAAATTATATCAGAAAAGGAAAACATTTCCTAAATGGATAGCAAGTAATGAGATAGACTTTTAAGGCACACTGGATACCAGTAGGGTGCTTTGAAAGGAAGGGCAGAAGAGGCCTTGAGAATGAGGTTAAGTCAACTGGAGTTTAAGAAAAGCAACCATTGAGCCAAAAGAATCTTTCATTTAAGGTTATTTCCCAAGAAATTAGTCATTTATTTTCATCCTTATGAGCTTGGTTCCAATTTAGTAGGAGCAGGGAAAGCTATTTCTTTGACATTGAAGAAGAAAAATTGTGGCTCTTCTCTCCAGCCCTGTGCTTTATTTTTTCCATATTAAGCTGCTCTTGAAAGCTGAAAAGAAATCAAAATAAAATTGGGAAAGTGATTTCACTCAAGGGTTTGTTTGGGGGTTTGGGGGTTTTTTTTTGTTTGTTTCTGTTTTTGTTTTTTTTTCCTTTTCAATTCTTTGCCTTCATCTTTTCCGGATATCTTTGCATTTTTGCTCCCATGGGGGATAAATCCTGTATCTGGTAAGGTGTTTTAAATATTAGCATGTCTTTGGTTTTGAATTCCTTCTAATCATATGCCAATTTTTGGAGATAAATATGAATACAAACAAGACAACATTAAGAAGTCAGACTTGTTCTGATATTGAAGAAGATTGTGGAAATTTTATGATCCATTTTAATATATCCATATTGAGATAATTCTTGGCCTTATTTTTATTTTAAGCAATTTAAAATATTTTCTTAGCTTGACAAGATTTAATTTTACAGTTTGACATCAGATTTTATAAATTCTTAGCATTTCCTAGAGCGAACTTGTAAACCAAAACAAAATCTTTCCAATGAAGATTTCTTTATGTAATTAGGATAAATTGTCTTCTTATAAATAGTGTATATCTTTTATTGTTTTAAAATACTTTGATGTGAAATTATCAATTATAAACCTGGGTCTGTATTGTTACTCACATGAACTTGCCTTCAAAATTAAAATGAAAATTAATGTAACAGGCAGAAAACACCTTGACTTCCTGTCCTACACCTACAGACTTATCTGTAGCTACATTCAGTCTATGCATCTCTCTGGTTTTTGAGGATTTCTTCTCTTGGCAATTCCCACCCACTGTACTCATGATCTTTTATCTCCAGTAGCTGGAAATTCTGACTTTGGCTATTCCAGTTACTGCATATTCAATATTAAAGTCTCCCTGCCTACTTACTCATTTTCTCATTCCCCATCAACTGATCATATTCACTGTGGAATCCACCATATCATAGGAGTAATATTCTCTGGAGATCCTCATTTCTCCAACTGCCCCTGACTCTTCAGCCGACTGCCATTGACTTTTACCTTCAAAAATTCACAGACTGCTCTATCAATAACCCAAGGCATTCTTTTCAGTCCTCAAATTAATTAATCTCCCCAAGGCTCATTATAATATTGACCCTACCATTTTCTTAAAGTGCCATCCTTCCTTAGTTCCCATGATCCAGGGTCTACTGGTTCTCCTTCTCTCTTCCTCTTTGTTAGCTCTTCATTTCTTTTGCAGGCCTCACTTCTTTCTGGCTAATCCACTTGTTATGACTTTTAAAATAATATTAAGTAATGTATGTTCACTGAAAACAAATTAGAAGCTGAAGATGAACAAAAGAGAAAAATATTTAGCAGACCCTGATGAGGATGACCTCTGAATGTTTTGGAGGAACTAGAATTATAGGGCTAGGGCACTGGGGAGTCATTGACATGTTTTGAGCAGGGAGTCAGGTGGTCCCATTTGCCTTTCAGAAGTTACTCTGGTTTGAGAATGGATGGAACAAGGATGGGTGGTGAATTAGATAGCAGTTCAGAAAGAGATAATGGTGGCTTCAACCAAGGTTGTAAGCACTGGAGACAGAGAGAAATGGGTGGATTCAAGAGATATTTGGGAAGTAAAAACAATAGGACATGGTGACTTTTTGAATGTGAGGAAAGAGGTAGAGAGAAGATGCCCCAATGTCTAAGTAGAATAACTGAATTCAAGGATGATAGAAGGAATCTGCTTGTGGAGAAAAATGAGAGCTCATCGGGGAAATATTGGCTATGAACATCTTGGAAGATACAGAAATGTGATATATATGTGATGTCATCTATATATATGATATTTAAGTACACACACACACACACACACATTTGAAAGGTATATGAAGCCTTAATGACACAGATTTGAGAGCCATGGTCCATGAAATAATGAGAGTGGGTGACAATTCTCTTGGAGGCTGTACAGAGAAAAGGAAAAATTAGAGGTTTGATCAGATATCCTGAGTCATGCCATGATGGGCAAAGAAAGAGGATTCTACGAAATAAAGCAATTAGAGTCTTAAAGAGAAAAAAATCCAAACAAATCAGGAAAGTGCTATTTTAAAGAAGTCAAGAGGAGAGATTATTTTAAGCATAAGGACATGACCAGTGGGACCAACTGAAAAGTGCAAAAAGACAAGAACAAAAAGGGTCTACTGGATTCATAGCAAAGCAATTCCTAGTAACCTTGGAAAAGACATGAGGAAATGAAGGCAACAAGTGAAGCCACTCTGAAAAGTTTGAGAAGAAAAGAGAGGAAGAATGATAGCTGAAACGGGATGTAAAGGAAGTTTTGGTGGTTTTTTTTCTTTCATTTGTTCGTTTTGTGTGCTGAGACAGCAGACACGAGAGTGTGCTTATGTGCTAACTGGCAAGAGCAGGAAGGGAGGGGAGACGGTGAAGCTATCAGATGATGGGGATAATGGAGGAGTAAGCTTCTAGAGGAGTGGAGAGGTGGGGGAACACAGAGCTTGAGGGCACAGAGATGAGTTTTGCCTGGAGGAGAGGCACCTCTTGTCTATGACAGATGGCAAGGGGGAAAAGGATGGGGGCACTTGCAGTGGGAATCTGTGCGTGAGATGACAGGGAGCTGGGCAATTTCCCTTTTTGTGATTTCTATTTTCCCCATCAAGTAGGAGGCAAAGGCACATGCTGAGAGCAAGGGAACTGAAGTGGTAGGTTAGGTAATTTGAGGAGAGCAGAGAAAGTTTTAAATAGCTGTTGCGGAGAAAGAAAGCTGATGAGAAAGATACCTACACAGATTGCCAGAATTGAGAGCCAGTTGAGATAAGAGATCATGAATGTGTGTGTACCATCCAGAAGCCTCGTTGAGATCTAGATTTCAATTTTTAATATTGGTATAATAGGAGAATAGTAGAGAAAAGAACTAAACTAGTGACAGAAAAGCAGCTGACACGGTGGATCACAGAAGGTAGACAAAAGCAAGGAGACTGTGAAGACACAAGTGCCTCCGGTGTTCTCGATCCCATTCCATGTCTTCCAGAACCTAGAGCTTCTGGTAGAGGGCAATTAGAGGCAGAGATGGAACAGTTGCTGGTATTAGTAAGGCCCAGGTGGCACCAGGTGAATAGCTGACTGGTTGATTTGGGGTAGGGGAAAGATAATGGAACCAAGAAGGATGCCTGGATAGGTCAGTCAGTTAAGTGTCCGACTTTTGGTTTCAGCTCATATCATGATCTCACAGCTTTGTGATTTCGAGCCCCACATTGGCCTCTGCGCTAACAGTGTGGAGCCTGCTTGATATTCTCTCTCTTTTCCTCTCTCTCTGCCCCTTCCCCACTTGCACGGTCTTTGTCTCTCTCAAGGAAGGAAGGGAGGGAGGGAGGAAGATTAGGTAGGTGATAGATAGATAGATAGATAGATAGATAGATAGATAGATAGATAAAATGGAGCTGAGAAAGTCAAGTTCGGAGGCTATAGGCAACATTATTGTTTGGGTCAAACTGTTTTTTTGGTTTTTGTTTTTTGAGATATCATTTTAAGTCATAGTTTTATTCGTTATCACACACACACACACACACACACACAACAAAAGCGTATTCAGTAGCTCAAATATTAGCTAAGGCTGCCATTCCCATGATCATGTAGGAAATACTGGCTCAAACTTCCCTCTGCTTTCCGTGCCCCAGACAACATCTAATTTAGAGGGAATTCTATATATCACCCAGCATCTGATAATTTGATTCAGGTTATGGATTGTTTCACTTCTGTAAGCATTTTGTTCCTATATTACAAAGAGCTGGTATACACTTGAAACTTTACCCTTTTATCTTGTCCTCCCCACTAATTTCTATCTTCATGAAAACAACAAACAAAACAAGAACATTCTTATAAGGCCATTGTATGCAAAGCAAAACAGTAAATTAGAAAATCAAAGATTTGTAGTGATGGAAGGCAATATACATTGCAGCAATGCCAATAAGTTCCAAGTCAAGTATTACATTTGGCAATTCCTAAAAATCCCCATGGCCATTTCTGAACTAGGCTTTCATTCTCCCAGTGGATCACTTTACTGTCTCTTCTCTTCTCTGCCTTTTCTTCTTAAAAAGAAAGAAAGATTCTCCCAAATTGCCAATCTGAGTGATTTAGTTTTCTCTAGCTTATACCTTTCAAAGCCAGCTCCAGGTCTACTTGCATATCAAAAACTTGGCCTAGTCCTTAAATTCAAGCAGGAGTTGAGAGTGGCTCAGATCAAGGCAGTGGAGGTAATGAGAAGAGGTCAGATTCTGGGTACATTTTGAAGATAAAGGCAGTGAGAGAAAGAGAGAAGTCAGGGATACTCCCAAGATTTTTGGCCCAGGCAACGGGAGAGAGGAGTTGACATGAACTGAGGTGAGGAGGCCATGGGGAAGCAGGTGTTGGAAGGAAGGAGCAGGAGTTGAGCTTTGCTCATATGAAACTGAGTACGTATGTCTTATATCCAAGTGCATATGTCAAGCAGGCAGTTGAATGGCCTGAGCTGGAGACTCATATATACGTACATACATTTCATATATATATATATATATATATGCATATATATATATATATATATGCATATATATATATATGCATATATATACAACTTCCCTCCAAAAAATTATTTCTAAACATTTTTCATAAAACTGATCTAACAATAGAACATAGACAACCACATAGAGACTTCCAGTTTCTTCCCAATGGGAGATAACCCAAGTTAAATTCAGGCATTGTATCCAGAGTAGATATCCAGGACGTTTTTCCTGGAGTCTGGAGAAAACCTATAGCTTGTTCCAAGTAAAGTAGCAAATTAAACTCCTGAATCTAATTTTATTTGCTTCTGAAATCCAATGTTACATTCAAGGGACTTAAAAAAAAAAAAAAAAAAAGAAAAGAAAAAAACAAGACCAACAAGAACAGGGAGAACTGGAGAGGAGAAAATAACAAAATTTTGTAAATTGAAATTCAGAGGAAGAGTGACAACTGGCTAACAGACCTCAGGAATCAGAATGCCAAGTCAACAGTAGGAGAAACTGATAACAGACCCAGTTTACAATGTGGAAGCCTCAAAATATTAGGAACTGGTAGCACTAAGTGCCTCTGGAACTGGTTGGTAGGGTTCCAGGTTGAGGCCACAATAAGAAAGACTGAGGAAAACCTAGAGCCACTTCCCCACTTCAAGAGCTGTCTAGAGAAGATAAAATAGGGTCTCAGATTAGAGGACAGCAGCCACTATAAGGCAAAGATATTCTACCAAAGATGTCGATAAAGTGACCATAATGAACACTGAAAGCTAAATGGACTGTGTGCCCTATTCAGTCCCAAATCCCTACAGACCAGTCCCTTCCTCTGTGGGTTGGAGTTTGAAAAGTTCTTCCTTGGAGAATTTGACCAGCTCGACACAAAAGATTTCAAGATATTGACTTGGGGAGAACCCCAGCCAGCCTTTCCAGGGCCTCTACTGGCCTGTGCAAAGCTGTTGTGTGTGAATTAGAAAAAGATGATCCCTCTGGGCAGATATAGCTTTGACCATGTTAAAAAGACTTAAAAAGATCACACCTTTGTAGGAAGAAAAAGGCATCCCTTCAGGAAGATGTAGTCCCTGACCAGTGTTCATGAATTGGTGAGCAAGTGAGAGCTGCATTTTAGGCCCCTTCAGTCTGGTGTCTTCATGGAGAGCACAACTCTGAGTGACCCTGAGACCACCCAGGTTACCCTGCAGTAAAACAAAGTCAACAAGCCCCACCTATGAGCCCAAACTTTCCATTCATCCAACAAGCAACTCACATCTGAAGGATATCTTGAACGTAGAAGATAGACTGAAACAAAAATAGAAACAAACAAATCAGTCCTTGGAAGAAACAGAGTATAGAAGAGAGAAGGGAAAAAAGTGAACATCCTCAGAGTGATATAGAAGTATTGCATCTGGGGTGCCTGGGTGGCTTAGTTGGTTGAGCATCTGACTCTTGATTTCAACTCAGGTCATGATCCTAGAGTCATGGGATCGAGCTCTGCATCAAGCTCCTTCTTTCTTCCTTCCTCTGCCTCTTCCCAGCTGGTGTGCATGCTCTCTCTCTAAAATTAAATTAAATTAAATTAAATTAAATTAAATTAAATTAAATTAA